GATGCAGGGCTCGATCCCAGGACCCTGGGATCATGACCTGAGCCGAAGGCAGACGCTTAACGACTGAGCCACCCAGGCGCCCCTATTTTTTATTTTTATTGGATTCTCCTCCACATTTTCCAGTTCAGGTGTCAACTAAGTTTTTCAAGGAAGTTTATTTTTAGATTTCAGGACTCCTCACTGTTAGGGATTTAGGACCGCCCTCCTTCCTGGAATTTCAACTCACCTCCCTCAACTGTGGGTAATTTGACAGTGCAGACTTCTGTCCTTCTATACCTAAATCCCATAAGACTATAGCTTTCTACTTTTCTTCTAGTATTATAGTCCCCCCCAACCCATCTCAAAAACTGGGCAATGTCCTCAAGGGAAAAGTGGTATCAAGGCAGATATCACCCAACCCTTTCCTCTTCTTTCATGGGTCCAATCCTTTCTTCCTGCTTTTGGGTGTCTCTCCCAAGTTTTGTTTTTCCTCAAGTTCATAATTTTTATCTGCTTGAAGTTTAGTCTGATACATGCTATTCTATCATTTTATTCTTTTCTATTATTCTATTTTCCAGTTACTGTGGTTTGATCTTGAACCTATAATTATTAGATTTCATTTTCTTTAGACTTCCATTCCAGTTTTTTTGGCCTCATAGAAAATACTCCCAGATTCTGCATTATATCAATGGCCATTCTTAGCTCACAGTATTGTGAGTTTTTAAAATTTACATTAATCTAAAGCTATTTCAATGGGAATATTGGAGGCTCTATCCAAGGATACTAGTTAGACACCATTTTAAGGCAAATTCTAGATATGTATTTATAATTACACTTCTGCTCTCTTTTGCTACATTAGCCCTGTCATCTCTCAGAAGAGAAAAAAAAGTGAAGCTTCTTGTCCTGAATGGAAACTGACATGCAACAAATAAATCTGTGAGTATGCTCAGTATGCTCCTTTGCCCCCTCTTTTTATTCAAGTGACAGGCTTTTTTGGAGATGAAAGCAGACATTATTTTCCCAGTGAGACCTGAGTGTCTTTGAAATCCTTCTTGCTGTCACTCTCTGATAACCTGAAATCTTTCGGCATCATTATGGGTTATCAATATGCTCTTTAGGTTTTCTTAGTCACACGAGATAGTTGCCAAGGTAACTAGGCCTAGACAGGTATTCTTTCCTTCTTCTACAAAGAATCTAAAAATAGTGATGTGTAAGGACTACAGTGCATCAGCAGCAGCAAATCAGCTCTGTACAAATTGATTACTTTCTGCACTTAATTATTATGGGGATCTCAGTGTCAGGCATTTAATATGGGTTCCATGCCTTCAGCTAATTTCACCTCCACTTTAAGAAACTGTCTGCAAGAAAATGCTTGAATCAAAATAAGAATCTCATTGCTAAGTCTGCTTCTTCCTAAAAATCAGCTAAGGTTAAAAAAAATAGAAATATCCTCGAAGAAGATCAAGACATATTTAAACTTATTTTCATATATAAATGTTTCTCTCTTTAGACTATATGAAAGTCATGTAATTATTTTAATCAATTTATATCAAATGAATGTTAAATTATACACAAAGACATAATTTCCAACAAGACACACACATATACAGGTAAAAGCCATTCAATTATCTGGTAATAAACGTATGTCTCACTTGAATGTTACCTTGATAGCTTCTGTTCCCTGGCTGATTGATAAGCCTTCAGATGTAAGTAGGCCATTAAGAAAAGAGAACAGCATACCTAGGACCTATTATAACAACCTGAGGTCATTCCTCACAAATTACATTCACCTAAATTTGTTAATATCTGGACTCAACCAGGGACAACTGTACACACAGATGCCACTTTTTTTCCTTTCCACCAAGGACTATATTGAAATTTTGCCCCACATTTTGCCTGTCAAATTGTATTTCTCAGCTGGGGTCTATTCCCCTTACCCCCACCCCCCACCCCAGGACATTTGGCAATGTCTGGAGGTATTTTTGGTTGTCACAACTCAGAGAGGGGGTGCTGCTAGTGGGCAGAGGCCAGAGATGCTGCCAAAAGCCCCAGAGCACATAAAATGGCCCTTCAAACAAATTATCACTGAGCAACTCCAGTCTATGGTAATGAACCGTCAACCAAACTTGAAGTTGTAAGTTTCTGCGGTCTGTACCTTGACAAGTGACTAAACATATGAATGGACAACATTCCCATTACTTAACTTAATGTGAAGTTACTTTTGTTACGTCTACCACTTACAACTTTACCAGCACTGGTTCTTTCATTAGCCCAATCTCTCCTGAAGAATTAGGGCAGAGTTATTAGCTAGTCAGAAATCTTAGCCCTGGGAATTATCAGCATTGCTTCAGTGTTCTTCTCTCTGAGTGCTCTGGGTTTGGGTTCTGGTGTGGCTGAACCCTGTAACAAGGCCCACTGACCTTCAAGGACCACCTGCACAAAGTCTTGAGCGGACAGCTTATCCTTGCGCACAAAGCACTGGTACGCGCCCCCGTCACTTTTGACCATGTGATCCATTATAAGGTTTTCGTGGTTGATCCCTGTGATCCTCACATTTTTTCCAGGGTTGAGGATTTCACCGTTTCGGTACCAGGAGAGTTCCTGGTCCTCACTGCCTGTCACACTGCAGGACAAGGAAACCTGGCTACCCACGCTGCTTTTAACTTTCCTGGGGCTGATGGTAGCTTTCAGTGGCTCTGGAAATTTTGGTAAGAGAAAGAAAAAGAAGGTAAAAAAAAAATCACATATGCAGACATCATTTCAACAACATGCTGAGCTTTTGACAAGGCGCATGCATCACGGTAAGCATACTCTACAGATCTCATGTTCGCACACCATTTTGTTCAGGAGCTTCGTTGTTTGCCTTTCCGTCTCTATGTAGCAAATAGACTGGCAATGGGTCAAATTGCTTTCTCAATGAGTAAGTGTGAGGATTAACCCACTGACAATAAGAAATGCCATGTTCTGGTTACTGCTAAGGACAGAGGTATTTGGATATTTAAATCCTATTGCCTTGTCCCAAGGTAACAACACGGATGGGTTTCTCTGGGACATACTCACACACTCATACACTCGCTTATCACCCCCCTCCTATGTGGTTTAACCAGGGCCCATCACACACAGCTGTAAGAAAACAAGTGGATATTAGAATTTGTGGACACAAACAGAGTTTTTCTTTAAAGTGAGGCTAACTGGTGTGGACAGTGATGGAACTCTCCTATTTGACATTCCACATTTTCATTCAACAAACCAAATTTGATGTAACAAGTTCATTTATTGAGCATCTACTATAAGCCAAAAGTGGGGTTAAACTTATAGGTAAGACAAAGATGAACGACTTTTGCGGTGTAACTGCCATGTGCCAAACAATTACTAAATGTCTTTTGTACATTGTTTAAGTCCGTCTCCCCAGAGTCCTGCATGTTTTGTCATATCATCGCATTCATTTTACAGAAGAGGAAGTGGTTATTCAGAGAGCTTAATTAACTTCACCAAATCCACTCAACAGGTAAATGGCAAAAACCATTTTTTTTTTTGCCCTAATTATTCCTGACATCTTGTGTTACCACACCAAGGCATCTCTGGTTCCAAGGAGTTCAGTGTTTTGGTGAATGAGACAAATGTAAGAGTAGATATAGTAGCCAAGCAGTGATATAGGTCCATCAGAGACATCTACTATGTGGAAGGGGACCAAGAAAGTCCTTAGATATCAAGGATGGATAGACCTGCGTCCAGCTAGAATGAAGGGGCATTTTGTGAATTAGGGCATGCCTCACAGCTGTGTCACAGGAAGACTGTGTCTGCTTAGTGTGGATGCAACACAGCATTTCTGTAGGAAATTATGGAAGAAAAATGACAAAGGCAACCTGGAACAAGTAGGCAAAGGGCCTCAAAATTTTGGAATTAAATCAGTGGGGACTAAAGGAAGCATTCAAGAATTTTTAGCAAGTGAAGATATGGTCAAACACATTTTTAGGAAAATTGACTGATCATATTGTGTTAGACAAATTAGAGTAGGGAACTTGGTCAGTAAGGGGGCATTGCAAATGTCTAGTTGAGGTACATTAAGACTCAGTCTAGGACAGGATGGGGTTGGGGAGCGTGGCTGAGAAACACTGAGTTACAGTCTCTAGGACTTCACAGGACTTGGATGCAGAAAGGAAAGCTTTATGGAGAATCCAAGATTTAAAGCCTGCATTTGGGGGGCTCAAGAGGGTAAGACATTTCGAATAAAAAGAGCCATTGACAAGGTGGAGATGGTGGAGTGTTTGGTTTGCAATACTGTTGTTTTGAAGTGCCAGCAAAACATCTGATCTAAAATTGGAAGACATACTCATCTAATACTCAAGAAGGAATCCAAGGCTAAGCATGCAGATCCAGGCTTGTTCTCAGAGGGGTGGAATCTGGAGCCATATGAATAAAGAGAGCACCAGGAGGGAGGAGATGGAAGAGAAGAGGGTTTTGGATTTGGAACCCAAGATAATGCTTTCTGTTTAGAGAGGAAAGACAAAAATGAAATCGGAGGGAGATAGGAAACATTCAAGAGGCATTTGAGGACTTGTCCCAGTGTGGCAAAGAGCACAGTAGTGAAAACAAGCACAGTCAGAACTAAGACTTTTCCACAAATAACTTTTAAAATGTAGACAGTGATACAGAGAAAGCAATAAATTAAACCCTGAGAGCTGAGCACGAGATGCTTGGGGATGGGGATGTCTCTGGGGAGGCCACTGCACTGGGCCTCGAAAAATGGGAAGTTTGAGACCTTTAAGTCTTTGAAAACCATCTTCCATGTGGAGGGAGCAACATGACCTGTGTTCAGGATAGGAATGGGTTTGTACGGAGAATAGGAAGAAGTTAGATTTAATAGGAGTATCTTTTCTTTGAAGCAAAACTATGGGCAGTAGGACCAGACAGGCTTACTTGGGATGATTTTGATACTATCCTAAAATATAAACTTACTCAGCAGGAAATGGGGAGCCATGAAAGGTATTTTAACACAGAGGAGATTTTGAGCTTCCAGGGATACTTCTTACTTGCAGTCCAGCACTGCATCATTGCATCTAGAAGTTTCTTCAACTACAGAAATAGAGCTGTACAGACCTTATCTTCCATTTCTCCCTAATCCCAGCATAAGCATGTTTGTGTGATTTTCAAAAGACCCACCCTGGGCAGCTGTTTCCAGGCAGTCCCTGGAATGTCTACTCTAACAAATTCTGTTGCGCTAGAACAGTCCACAGTCAGGGTGACATTGAAAAGACAGTTCCATAAACAGGCATGGGGTTGGGAAAAAGTGGGATAAGAGAATGCCTCCCCTTTCAATGTCGACTCTTGTGATTTAGCTTTAGTTCAGCCAATTAGTTCATCAAATTAAAAAAAATACACATCTTATTTTATGTAATATATAATAACATTATATACAATGAAAAGAACATTCCATTTGCATCTAAGAGCCACCTATTTTGACCAAAGCTCTGCCCGTCAATTGTGGTCATGTGCTCCTGGGTAACTCACTTTGATTCGGTTTCTGCTTGAGTAAAACTGAGGGTGTCTGACTAGATTAAAGTGCTCCCCACTGCGGTCACACCCCCTCCTTCCTCTGAGGCTGGCTTCAGCATCCTTCTCAACACATCCCTCATGACAGTCACTACAAATCTATTGGAGATGAAACATATCCACCATTTTTGAACTAAATGATATGTAATAATGAGTCCAAGTCCAATATTTTGATCATTTAGAAGATCTATATTTCTTCTGATAATAGTCCCATTCAGGTACATCAAGTAGCCTCTGAAAGTCGGCCAAGGACACCCACTGTGATCTGACTACGATCACTTGTGCTGACATCACAAGCCTGCCCCTCTTCCTCTGTCAAAGTTCAGACAGGGTGGCCATTATTAATTCAACAGCTAGGTAATGTGATCTCAGATACATATCCCGTTGGCCTAACGGAAATCTCGGCGGTTCAGACAGACCTGAATTCGAATCCTAAGTCCCAACCTCCCCAGCTGTGTAATCTTGAGCAATCTGTCTGAGCATTCATTTCCTCATCTGCAAAATGGGATAATACTGGTCTCAGCAGGACTGTTGTGAGGATGAATGGAAGGCTATATTGAGAGCCTGGAAGTCATCTTGTAACAAGAGCCCCATCAGTGGCAGTCAACATCACCATTCCAAGCTACCATCCAACTTACGTTTCACGTACAGGCGGCCTATCACCTTAGCGGTGCCGTATCTGTTGGAAACTTCACACACATAGCTGCCTGAGTCTGAAGGACGAGTGTTCTCAATGAGCAGCCCTGTCACGGTCTTCTGGAACCTTCCAGAAAGTTCCAGGGGCATGTTGTCCTTCAGCCAGCGATAATCTGGCTCAGGATGCCCAAGCGCTTTGCAAGGCAACTCCACACGCTGCCCTGCCATGGCTTTGCGATGATCAAACCCATCCAGTATGGATGGGGCTGAGTTCGCTGGGTCTGAGAAAGAAAGAAAAACTCTTAGACGTAGTGAATGAGTTGAAGTGGTCATTTAGAATCATAGGACCTTGTGTATAAGTTAAATTCTATACATCATGCTAACTATTGACAACAGATCTTTAAGATTTTATTAAAGAATAGAAAAGCCCTATTCATTGAAATTTATTCTGCTCAGAATTTTCCAAAGGCTGAAGCAGAAAAGGTTCTGCTTTTCATTTCCCACTAAATAACTAAGAACTCCAGAATCAGCATGCCTCTACAGGAGCTGCTGGCCCAGGCCAAGGACTGGGTTGTCTTGTGACCAGAGAATGTCAGACTTCCCCTTTCAAAAGAACAACAGTAGCATAGATAGTTGTTTGACATTAGTAAAATTTATTTCACACACAAAAAAGAATTTTATAGTTACTGAATTTGAAAGTGTTTTATTTATTCATTTCAAAATATTGTTGAGCCTCACGTCCAGGGCCAGCATACAGTCAGGAATTGGAAACATGGTGGCGAACAAGGCAGGAAAAGATGAGACCCTCATGGAGCTTACATCTGATTGCATGAGTGGGGCTGATGGGCAATGTGCAAGCACATGAATACATAAAGATGGTATGGCTTGTAGTAGGTGCAACGAAGAAACAGAAAAGCCTGACATAACAGAGTGAGTGAAGGTGGATGTGTCAGGAGTATGGTGAGGGGGACTTAGGGATGGTCCTCATGGATGTCCTTCATGATCACTGAGGACAGATGAAGGAATGAAGACAATCAAGGTGTGGCAAAAACGAAATGGTTATTACTTATGACATAACCCTATTTTTACAACACAACAGTATATAATTCACCTGTTCTCCCAAATGTTTGGCTGGTATTATGTTCTCGAGCTTGATGAAGAAAAGGACCAAATGCTCTCAAGAACTGGGTCAGTGGAAACCATGCAGCTCAATGACCAAGTTTGCTTTGAGGAATCGATGTTCTCAGGGAATATTATGAAGAATGCAAAAACAGAGGTCCCCTTTTGGATGCTCAACATAAAAGTCAGTGACCTTTCCTTACCCTCTCTTTTACTCTTCCTGTTCAGAACTTGCACTAGACCACACACATGAATGGTTAACACTAGTCTCCACACGGATATATAGAACAGATAGAGCCCCTGGCTCCTGAACTCTTCTTATCTTTGCCTTGGTTAGAAAAGCACCATGGCTGTTGTGATCTGCCTACAGTAAACCCAAAAGCAAAGGACTGGATATCTCCTCTATCCTATCAAAGAACCCCCCTGGAATAGCCTCTTAAAGTGCTGTGATTCCACAGTCAGCCACCGGGGGCAGTCAGGAGACCCAAGTGAATGTGTCAAACCCATTGAGCAGAAGCTGCTTCTGCCCAAGCTTTCCTTTGTTACATTAGAGATAAAATCCATGACATACCGCTGCTCTTCTCACCTCCCTAGTGCTTTATGAGAACAATGTGAATGTTCTCATGGGATATGATGAAGGAACCCAATAATCTCCTTTCCAGGACTCTTCTGCAGTTCCATCGTCCATTATAACTGAAGAATTCGTTGCCCATATTTATTCTCACTCACATGTCTAGGTGTGGGGCTCCAGAGGGATTACAGACCTAAGAAGCCCACAGTAGCAGGTGCAGAGCCCTTACCAGCGGAGGCCTTATTGCTTCAATCTCCTCCTGAAGGAAGTTAGACGGACTTTGGAAAGTATTGAAGAGCAAGTGACTTTCTTATGGCACTACATAGTTACCAAATCTATTGCTTGGCTTAGAGTGGGAAGTAGCATTGGCGCTGGAGAAGGTGACACAAAGAAGGTGTCACTCCTTTGGTGGGCACAGTTAATTTTTTTTTTTTTTTTTGTAGAACAAGTCCACAACCCAGGAAACAAAAGGTGCCCACTTCTAAGCAATACCTGATGAATGCACTTAAAATTTTTGTTCTGTAACTAATTGTTGATGGAAATTTCTGAAATATACTTAAGATGGTGCTGTGTTAATCTGACTTTTTTAAAAAGATTTTATTTATTTACTTGACAGAGAGAGACTCAGCGAGAGAGGGAACACAAGCAGGGGGAGTGGGAGAGGGAGAAGCAGGCTTCCCGCCAAGCAGGGAGCCCGATGCAGGGCTTGATCCCAAGACCCTGGGACCATGACCTGAGCTGAAAGCAGACGTTTAATGATTGAGCCACCCAGGTGTCCCTAAATCTGACTTTTTTTAAAAGAAGGAATGGAACAGTTGGATATCCATATCAAAAAGAAGAATTTAGAAACCTTACCTCACACCACCTACAAAAATTAACTTAAAATGGATTGTAGATCTAAATGTATGAGTTAAAACTATAAAACTTTTAGATGAAAAGTAGGAAAAAATCTTTATGACCTTGGGTCTGGCAGAGTTCTAAGACATGACACCAAAAACACAAGTGGCAAAAAATCAATATATTACACTTCATGACAGTGAAAATATTTTACACTTTCCAAGATACCATTAAGGAAAAAATAAGGAGCAACCTACTGGGAGAATATATTTGCAAATTATATTTCTGATAAAGGACTTCTCTCCAAAAAATATAAAGAACCCTGACATCTCTATGATAAGAAAAAAAAAATCAAAAAATGGACAAAAGCGGGGACGCTTGGGTGGCTCAGCCGGTTAAGTGTTCGCCTTCGGCTCAGGTCATGATCCCAGGGTCCTGGGATCGAGTCCCACATCAGGCTCCTTGCTCAGCAGGGAGCCTGCTTCTCCCTCTCCCACTCCCCCTGCTTGTGTTCCCTCTCTTGCTGTGTCTCTGTCAAATAAATAAATAAAATCTTTAAAAAAATAGACAAAAGATCTGAATAGATATATCACCAGAGAAGATATTCAAATGACTGATAAGCACATGGAAAGATGCTCAGTGTCATCAGCCACTAGGGAAATGCAAATTAAAACTACAATGAGATACCACTTCACACCCCCTAGGAAGGTTATAATTAAAAACATGAACAAGAACAGGTGCTCATGAAGAAGTGGAGAAGAAACTGGCCCCCCATACACTGCTGATAAGAGAGTAATATAGTGCAGCCTCTTTGGAAAACAGTTTGGCAGTTTCTCAAAATGCTCAACTTCACTTTACCACAGCACCCCAAAGTTCCACTCCTAGGTATCTATCCCAGACAAATGAAACCGTGTTCACTCAAAGACATGATCACAGATGTTCCTGGCAGGATTTTTCATAATAGCCAATAAGTGGAAACAACCCAAATGTCCATCAGTTAGTGAAGGGATAAATGAGATGTGTCTATACATGCAGTGGAATATTATTCAGCAATCAAAAAGAGTGAACTACTGATAACATCTTACAATATGGATGAACCACAAAAGATTATGTTACATGAAAGAAGCTTGATACAAAGCCACATGTTGTGAGATACAACTTATAGGAAATATACAGAAAGTGCCCATGGGTAGAAACAGGTAGTTAATTACTGGTTGCCTGGGGGCTGGAGATGGGAATTAGAACTGACTTCAAATGGGCCACAGGGAGTTTTCTAGGTGGTAGAAATGTTCTAAAATTGGATCACATTGATGGTTGCACTGCTCTCTATATTTACTAAAATCACTGACTTGGATACGTAACATGGGTGAAGTTTATGGATGGTAAATTAAATCTCAGTAAAACTACTTTACATAAAAGGACTGGCCATTCCTTTTCTATTTTAAGTATACAATTTAAGCAATGCTTGAGACAGGCTCTCCGGGGGATATTTGGTCATGTACAAAATTAGTACAACCAAACAGCAGTATTTAATTTTCACCCCCTCATCTTCAATCCATTTGTCTACATTTAAAAATAAGTTTTTATCATAGAAAACTTGCAAACTCACACAAGAGTAGAAAAAATAATACAATGCATCTCATATATTTATCACCCAGACATGAGAGGCATCAAAATTATTTTTATCATCTATCTGTTTATTTCTTTATAGTTTTTGCCTTTGGTGCTATTGTATTGAGTCAAATCAATATAAGAACCTATGTCATCTTATCACTATATCATTAGTATGTTTCTGTAATAAACATAAAAGTTTTCAGAGGGCGGAGCAAGATGGCGGAGGAGTAGGAAACCTGGATTTCGTCTGGTCTCAGGAATTCAGCTGAATAGGGATCAAACCATTCTGAACACCTACGAACTCAACAGGAGATCGAAGAT